ACACACACACACACACACACACACACACACACACACACACACACACACACACACGCACGCACGCACGCACACACACACATATACACATATATATAAGATAATAACGATCTCATCTCTCTCTTAATAGTGTTCCTTAGCATCGAAATTGCCCGGTAGAAACCGATCAAACGGCTCGTACTGGGATGTCATCAGGGAAATGATTTGTCCAGGCTCTGAAGATGGTACACCCGAGTTTTTGGCCATGAAGTTCCCTTTAGTACCTACCTCGGAATCGCTCGTACCTCCTGTTCCACCGGGTGTCAGTCTTACTGCCGGTAATGCGGCTGTTTTTCTCACCCCAGTCAACTTTAAACCCGATAGCGCCATAATCACTCCCACGTCCAAGCCGTTTGTACTGCAGCCGTCAACTTCCCGAGACGGCATCAAAAAGGATAACAGTATCGGTTCCAATGACACTGCGTCTATCACTCAGATCAAGGACGGCAATACTGCAAGTTCCAAGCATATGTCGTCGGATATTATACCGAGCTTTCATTCCGGTGAACTTACGGTATCCGTGAAAAATACGAAATGCGACTACGATTTCGCACCGGCGGACTTTTCTAAGATCCCGAACTCTTTGGCGCCTGGCGACAGTAACATTGCTACCAAAGCTCGAACATCGGCAAACTCGGACTTTCCATTAGCGGACATCACTCAACAGATTACCAAATTTTCCGATTTGACAAAGCTGACCAACTTCTCTACCGCCGACTTGGCCAAGTTATCCGGCTTCTCCATCACAGATTTTACGCGAACTTCTTCACCGTCGCCATCTACGTATATGCGTAACATTGCGAATCTATTCGGTCCTCTCGGAAAAATTTCACCAGTAAAGGATGCGGAAGGTAATGAACACAAACCAGGCGATTTTGTCTCCGTCGATGCGCTTCCGCCGTCCTTCAAAGCTGTCGGTACCTCGGAGCTTTGCCGCAACTTTTCCGCGAGTGTTGAGGATTACACGAGCGATCGGAAGAAACTTGACGCACAGGCGGATCCTGCTAAGATTAGTCGCATGAGCGATTATCAAGGAACGGAAGATTTGACAATCTCGAGTGTCAAACCCTCCGACTTTGGTGGTATGCTAGACATAACTACGGTGCATAAGAAACAGCAACCTTCGCAATCTGCTGACTTGGGAGATTCTTTGAATCTTGCCAAAGATCGTTAAATTCGTCCGAAATTATTACGGTATATGATTTACGTTCCAATACTTCCTGCCAGGATATCGAAAATCTACCTGCAATATACGTAACATGATTTATAAATTTTCAGTACTGTGACACTGATTATTAAGATTAATTATGATTATATCTCGAAACCTTCCATTAACTGCATTCGGCAGAACAAAACAGCTTTGCAAGTGAAATTCGTGAATCTGTGATTAAGATCTTAATCTCAGACTGAATTTAAGAGTATATATATTCTAATCGAATTTTAGAATTTTACAACAGTTGCGAAGGAGCTTTCTTTGCTGATCGCAGCTATTGTATCGGCAAATGTTGTGCCGTTTAAATTAATAATGCTTGCATTCGAAAAGTCAGGTTTGTTTGCCATTCCATGTTGGCCGAATATAATTGATAGGTATAATATAATTTTAGCGTAAATATTGTAAAATTATAATTTGACAATCTTTTCAACAAACTTATACTCGATAAAATTGTACCTTCTTTTTATTGTGTGTTTAAACATTTATCATCCTTATACATTTATTATACTTATATCCATTATATTGTTAATCGAATGAAAATATATGACATTAATGTGTTTTTAGTATCGTGGTCGGATACCTTGCGTGTATCAAGTAATGTAATCTTGCATTTTGATCTCTATTAACAGATGCGCGCGAGGCGCGCGTACTCAGAAGCAAGCACTGAAATATACAGGGTGACCCATTTTAATCTATAATTCCGAATATCTCCTAAACTACTCGTTCTACGGAAAAATAGTTACGACAAAAAATGTTCAGGACAGAAGGGTTCACAAGCCTGTGCTAATGACCTTGACCTTGAGATGATCTTTCAAGATTATTTGAAGGTCAAGGTCTTTTTTTTTCAATGGGAACCCTTATTTTTGACCCTGGATTTGGAAAGAACAGGAAATTTTACGTTCAAAATAATATTTTGAAAATTTTTTATATGACCTTCAAAGGTCAAATAAAGGTCAAATGTCTAAAAATGACTGTAGAGCTGTTTTTCTGAGTGATTATGATTTTTTTAGGATTGACAAGCGTTGGAGGAACTTTAAAAAGTAAGTGTGATATGCTATGACCTTCTTGACCTTTGAGTTAACTATGAAGGTCATTTGAAGGTCGAGGTGATTATTTGAAATAGGAATCCCTATTTTTGACGTTGGATTTGAAAAAGCAGGAAATTAACGTGAGTAAAGACACGTCTCGCGATTTTCATCGCTCGTGTGAAATCACCACGCAAGGTGAAAATCGCTTTCTTGTACGCTCATTGGAGTGAGATATTCTTCTTACTTTTGGCGTTACCCAGAAACAACGACGTGGACGTAGTAAGTACTGTTTCCTTTGGGGTTTCTGGGTAACACCAAAAGTAACTTTCCTCCAACGCTTGTCAATCCTAAAAAACCATAATGACTCAGAAAAACAGCTCTACAGCCATTTTTAGACATTTGACCTTTATTTGACCTTTGAAGGTCATGTAAAAAATTTAAAAAATATCATTTTGAACGTAAAATTTCCTGTTCTTTCCAAATCCGGGTCAAAAATAGGGATTCCCATTGAAAAAAAAGACCTTGACCTTCAAATAACCTTGAAAAGTCATCTCAAGATCATTAGCACAGGTTTGTGAACCCTTCTGTCCTGAACATTTTTTGTCCTAACTATTTTCCCGTAGAACGGGTAGTTTAGGAGATATTCGGAATATATATAGATTAAAATGGGTCACCATGTATACTACCTGGAACGCGTGCTACCTCTTGAGTATTGCGGGATGAGAGAGAGCATGTTTGTAGGTTTCGAACAGCGCTCTGTCATTGTCTAGTATAGTCTGAACCAAAAGCTAAGTCGGCTGATTTCTAAACATAAACTGAATCTCCGAATTAGAAACTATCTTTGCTTTGTTTTTCTTAATAATAAGTCGATAAGTGAATACTAATAAATGAGAAAAATATACATTTTTTTTATATTTTAAACTTTCGTTCATAAGCTTAAGTTATTGCCATTCAGTGATCACTGCTTTTCATATTATCTCTAATTTTTAATTTGGATTGTATCACATTCTCCTCACTCTCATACTATGAACTATAGACAAGGATAAGAGAGGAAACAAGGAACCTCTCTCTCATCCCGCACGCCTCAAGAGGCAGCGCGCGTTCTTGGTAGTATATATTTCAGTGGAAGCAAGATAGCAAAAATATTTCGGTTATTTCTTTCTTCAAATAAAGGTAGATATTTCCAGTAACGTATATACATCATATATGTAATACTACTGTATTGCTAATGTTTATTGCTAAATGAGAGAGAAGTCCGGCCCCAGAACCATGCGGGAATATATATTTCTACGGGAATATATATTTCTCTCTCCTTCTAAGTGTATTATGAACGTTATGCGCATGCGTCAGATAAATCTTATCCGTTAATGGGAAAATAAAATATATTGTACAAAACTGCATGTAATAGGTTAAGGTTCCTTAACTTCTTCGCGAAATATGACCACTTCCTAACCTCCCCAGAGACAAACTTACGGGATAATCGGGGAAAGGGAATTTCAGGGCGGAGGTTAGGT